CCTGCCAGCACCCGGCCACGGGCTCCCTGCTGCCCTGATCTCGAACGGGCCCACCACACAGGTCAGATTGCAGCGGGGATCCGCGGCCTAGGCCCTCGGCGTGTGCTAAGTGACGTCCAGTGCCAGGCCGTGGCCCGTGGGGCCGTCTTTGTCTCCTCCCACCACAGCACTGTGCAGACTCGGGGCACTCACAGACAGCGGCCTACCCGCCGTGGGAGCCTCGCTCTGCGCGGTGGGTGCTGGTCTGCAGAGAAACACCTAACGGGGAGGCTATTGGCGTCCAGAACGGCTCAACTCTCAGCACCCTCCTCCCATGGTGCCTTCCGGCCTGGCCTTGGGTCCCACCCACTCTCTGCCAGTCTCTGTGACACGACTTGGAATGAGGAAGATTCCAAGGGAAGGGACAAGCGAGAGGCGCCATGCGGTGTCCCCAGAGGACGGGCTCAGACCACAGTCCTCTCCGGGATGCGGCCGTCCTCTGTGGTAGTTGGTTCTGGGACAGCTGACAGCAGAGCCCTGCGGGGTCCAGGACGTCCAGACCCGTTACGGGCCAGGAACACAGCACAGACCCGCAGCTCCCCAAGGCGCCCTCCGCCCGCGCCCATCCAGAAGCCCGGGGGCCCTCCCGGCCATGCCGGGGGCACTGGGATGGTCTTGCTAGTCCTGAGTGTGATGGCCTGGGTGCTGGCCCCTCTTGGGCGCCATCCCCCTGCCAGAGAAGCAGCTCGGTGCTCCCCATGCCCCGGCTCAGCCTGGCCTGCACAGGCCTTGAGGATGGCCTGGGGTGGTCTGAAAGGCCACCCACCGTGCAGCCTGTTGGCAAGGGGCGCGTGGAAATGGCCGTTCTGGTGTGCGGACCTCCGTGCTCACCTGTCACCCGTGCAGGCCCATGTGTCCCGGCCACCTCTTCTCAGTGTCTCCCGCAAAGTAGCACACACCAAGGGGATTTCCAGCGGGCTCGGGACCCTGACAAGCCCAGTGGAAGGACAGATGCCAGACAACATCTGGGACGGGAAGTGCGAGCCAGCGAGCAACCGCGGGTGTCAGTGCGACTTGGCAGGCACCGAGCGGGGCACGCTTTCAGAACTGCTGTCCACACGGAGCTAAAATTCAACAAGTCCTGTGTCTTTTTTTCCCCCATAGGACATATGTGCTCCCCAGAGAGACACAGAGAGAGGGAAAGTGAGAAATTACCCCGGGAAGATGG